TATATCTATCTATCTATCTATATCTATCTATATCTGTCTATATCTATCTATATCTGTCTATATCTATCTATATCTATCTCTATCTATCTCTATCTATCTATATCTATCTATATCTATCTATATCTATCTATATCTATCTATGTCTATCTATATCTATCTATATCTATCTATATCTACCTATATCTACCTATATCTATCTATCCATCTATCCATCTATCCATCTATCTAATCTATCTGTCTATCTATCTGTCTATCTATATCTATCTATATCTATCTCTATCTATCTCTATCTATCTCTATCTATCTCTATCTATCTCTATCTATCTCTATCTATCTATATCTATCTATATCTATCTATATCTATCTATATCTATCTATATCTATCTATATCTATATCTTCTATATCTATATCTTCTATATCTATATCTTCTATATCTTCTATCTCTATCTATATCTATCTATCTCTATCTATCTCTATCTATCTCTATCTATCTCTATCTATCTCTATCTATCTCTATCTATCTCTATCTATCTCTATCTATCTGTATCTATCTCTATCTATCTCTATCTATCTCTATCTATCTCTATCTATCTCTATCTATCTCCATCTATCTCTATCTATCTCTATCTATCTCTATCTATCTCTATCTATCTCTATCTATCTGTATCGATCTCTATCTATCTCTATCTATCTCTATCTATCTCTATCTATCTCTATCTATCTCTATCTATCTCTATCTATCTCTATCTATCTCTATCTATCTCCATCTATCTCGATCTATCTCTATCTATCTCTATCTATCTCTATCTATCTCTATCTATCTCTATCTATCTCTATCTATCTCTATCTATCTCTATCTATCTCTATCTCTATCTCTATCTATCTATCTATCTATCTATCTATCTATCTATCTATCTATCTATCTATCATATATCTATCTATCTGTATATCTGCAAGCTTGAAAGCCAAGCTGTTCTGCAAGACTTCCTCAGTTTTTCAATCTTGGCAACATCAACAGCGCAGCAATCCTGCGAGACTTCCACACTTTTTGAACTTGGCAATGTCAAAAATGAAACAAGTTTGTGAGACTTCCGCAATTTTCGAAGTTGACAACATCAAAAACGAAACAATTCTACGAGACTTCCTTCAAAAACAGAAAGTTGAGTGCAGAGCTGACGGCCTCGTACCAGTGCGTTTTGCGATTTTTCTCCTCCATCTGTGTCAAGCGCTGCGCCTGCCACGCAAAATCATCTTAGCAAACCTGAAGATCTGATGGTCCAAAATGCACCCCTCTCAGGAAATCAGCGCCCTGACCTCCTAACATCTCTGATGAACAGGTCTCTTGCACTGCGCCTGCCACGTGAAATGCATCTTTGCAGATCCTCTTCAAATGCCCCACGACTCCCATCGTTTTTGGAAATGCCACAAAACCCTCACGTTTTGCTCACTTTTGACAACGTGCACAATCCCTTGTGCCTGCCACGCGAAAGGATATCTGAACGTGTAAAAGTGCTCCGGACCCCTCAGTTTTTTGCACTTTTGACTTCGAAATGTGCTTCTCGCCACAACGGCGTGCTCTTTTTCGACATCGCAACTTCCAAAAGTGGTCCCAGCATGGTGTGTTTTGTACATTTTGACTTGGAAACGTGCTTCGCGCACAACAGCGTGCACTTTTTCCACATCTCAACTTCCAAAAGTGGTCTGAACCTGGTGTGCTTTGAACATTTTGACTTCGAAATGTGCTTCGCGCCACAACGGCGTGTACCTTTTCGACATCTCTACTTCCAAAAGTGGTCCGGGCATGGTGTGCTTTGCGCATTTTGACTTGGAAATGTGCTTCGCGCCACAACGGCGTGCAATTTTTCATCTCTCATCTGGCCAGCTGGCTCCGCACCCGCCGCTTTAGCGAGCCTACTTTTCGACCCTCCGGAGCCACAAATCATTGGAAATTACAGTTTTTCGTGGCTTTCCTACTTTTTCGCGCGCCTGGATCTTCTTTCTTCTGAGACTTTCTCTTTTTGACCTTCTTTCTTCTTCTCTTCTCTTCTCTTCTCTGACCTTCTCTGACTCTTCTCATCTCTGCTTTTCATCTGTCCACATTGTCAGAAGTTTGACTTCTAAACTTGCTTCGACAACTACACGCTACACTACACTAATTACACCGCAGCAAGCTACAACTACAAATGCATCTACAACAACCACCACACTACACTACACAACACTACATCACACTGATTACATTGCATTACACTACAACTACAACTGCAGCTGCAACTGCAACTACCACGACATTACGCTACACTACACTACACTACACTACACCACGCTACACTACACTACATTATACTTTACTACACCACACGGGATGGATTCCCCATGACCGACAGGGAGCAACCCCTTAATAATCTGAGAACCGGTTAGAAGGTGAGGTTGTGAGACCTCTTCACCAGTGTAGCTCACTTTTTCCCCGCAACTTTGTGTGGGGTTCTTGTTTTTGATTCTGTATCTCGGGTGCTCCGCCTCCCGCCTCCCGCTCCGCCTCCCGCCGCCCGCCTGTCAACCACCATCTTTCACACACCTTCTTTCACACACCATCTTTCACACACCATCTTTCACACACCATCTCTCACACACCATCTTTCACACACCATCTCTCACAGACCATCTTTCACACACCATCTCTCACACACCATCTTTGTCAACCATCTTTGTCAACCATCTTTCACACACCATCTCTCACACACCATCTTTGTCAACCACCATCTTTCACACACCTTCTTTCACGCACCATCTTTCACACACCATCTTTCACACACCATCTCTCACACACCATCTTTCACACACCATCTCTCACACACACCATCTTTGTCAACCATCTTTGTCAACCACCATCTTTCACACACCATCTTTCACACACCATCTCCCACAGACCATCTTTCACACACCATCTCCCACAGACCATCTTTCACACACCATCTCTCACACACCATCTTTCACACACCATCTTTGTCAACCATCTTTGTCAACCACCATCTTTCACACACCTTCTTTCACGCACCATCTTTCACACACCATCTTTCACACACCATCTTTCACACACCATCTTTCACACTTGGTGACATCCTCCTGCGTTTCACGTGGCAGGCGTGGCACTTGTTGACATCCACCTTCGTTTTGCGTGGCAGGCGTGGCACTTATGGCACTCGGCTGGGTCTAGTGGCGCGCTTGGACCGGATTGGTCGCGCGGTGACGCCGCGGCACTTTGCGTGGCAGGCGTGGTACTCGGCGACATCCACCTGCCATTTGTGTGGCAGGCGTGGCACTTGGAGACATCCAACTGCCATTTGCGTGGCAGGTGTGGCACTGGAGACACTGGGCAGTGTCTGCTGGTGCGCTTGGACCGGATTGGTCGCGTGGTGACGCCGGCGCTTGGCGACATCCACCTTCGTTTCACGTGGCAGGCGTGGCACTTGGAGACATCCACCTTCGTTTTGCGTGGCAGGTGTGGCACTTATGGCACTGGGCTGGGTCTAGTGGCGCGCTTGGACCGGACTGGTCGCGGTGACGCAGTGGCACTTTGCGTGGCAGGCGACATCCACCTGCCATTTGCGTGGCAGGCGTGGCACTTGGAGACATCCAACTGCCATTTGCGTGGCAGGTGTGGCACTGGAGACGCTGGGCAGGGTGTGGTGGCGCGCTTGGACCGGATTGGTCGCGCGGTGACGTCGCGGCACTTTGCGTGGCAGCCTTGGCACTCGGCGACATCCACCTGCCATTTGTGTGGGCATGGCGCTTGGAGACATCCAATTGCCATTTGCGTGGCAGGTGTGGCACTGGAGACACTGGGCAGGGTCTGGTGGTGCGGTTGGAAATTGGTCGCGCGGTGACGCCGCGCCACTTTGCGTGGCAGGTGTGGCACTCGGCGACATCCACCTGCCATTTGCGTGGCAGGCCTGGCACTTGGAGACATCCAACTGCCATTTGCGTGGCAGGTGTGGCACTTGGAGACATCCAACTGCCATTTGCGTGGCAGGTGTGGCACTTTGTCACACACACACACCATGTTTCACACACCCTCTTTCAAGACTCTTTCACACACCATCTTTGTCACACACCATCTTTCACACACACCCTCTTTCACACCCAACTTTGTCACACACCATCTTTGACACACTATCTTTCACACACCACTTTGTCACCCATCATCTTTGACACACCATCTTTTCACACACAACTTTGTCACACACCATCCTTGACCCTCAACTTTGTCACACACCATCTTTCACACACCACTTTGTCACCCACCATCTTTGACACACCATCTTTCACACACCACTTTGTCACACACCATCTTTGACACTCAACTCTGTCACACGCCGTCTTTCACACACCGCTTTGTCACACCATCTTTCACACAACTTTGTCACACACCATCTTTACACGGCTTTGTCACACACCATCTTTCACACACCATCTTTGACATACCATCTTTCACGCACCATCGTTGTCCAACACCATTTTTGACCCACGACTTTGTCACACAGCATTTTTTACACCCAACTTTTTCACACACCATCTTTGACACACCATCTTTCACACACCACTTTGTCACACACCACTTTGTATCACACCATCTTTCACACACCACTTTGTCACACACCATCTTTCATCTTTCACACACAACTTTGTCGCACACCAACTTTGTCACACGCTCCCTTTCACACACAACTTTCACACACACCAGCTTTCACATACCACTTTGTCACACACACACAATTGTATTAACTTTTCGATCTGTCAGGACAAGTGGATACAGCAGAGGCAGATGCTGGCAACCCGTTGCCGAGCTATCCGCTGAGTCGTGGGCCATGGCTGGCTAAGCTGGAAACCTGCAGCTCCATGTTGCAGATGGGGATCCTACTGGCATAAGGGTTGAGTCATGACCTTCTGCATGAACTTGATTTGGATACCGGATCTCAACAGCCCGCTGGTCAGAAGGTTAGAACCGGCGAGCTGTTCCCAAGCCACCGCTGACCAGAGATTTGAACTGGCCCTGCGGTCATGGGTAGCAACATGCTGCGCTACGATCAATGGATTTGGCCGAAAGCCTGGAAAAGTTCACCGCGCGGCGCTAGCGGACATGGGTCAAAAGATCAGGCCCAGACGGTTTTTAGCGGGGGATGAAACCCCCAACAGTTGTTTTGAAGAGGTGATTGTTGATCTGAAGAATAAATTAAAGGACCGGATAACCCCACAAGGCAACTTCTTCCAATAATGAGCACCAAATGTTGTAGCGGGGACTTCCCAGAACATCCCAGAACCTGCTTCGGTACCTTTGGGCTTGTCGTCGCCCCAGCTTCCCCAGGGCTGTTGCCTTTGCTCTTGCCTTTCTTTCCTTTTCCTTTGTTGTCTTTTCCTTTGCCCTTCGGCCTGCTTTCTACTGCCAGTCTTGAACATACCAGTTTGCCTGGCGCGTCCACGATCCTTTCCCCCCTGCCTTCTCCACCAGTTGAGAATGCTGCTGGGCTGCTAAGAGGACGTTTGGAAGTGCACTGGACTCGTCCCCTTCGTCCAGCACCTCCGTGACTTTGCCGTACCCCATCCTTGCTTGGCTGCCGTCTCGACTGGCGGGAGGAGAGGACATCCGCCAGCTGATCCAGCCGGCCCCGCTTCAGCAAGTCCAGCGACCTCGCCAGCAGGAAAAGCTCTCCTTGCTGTCTCGCGACTTGGGTTGGGGCCAAGCTGACAAGGCATGAACCGTGCCCTTCCCCAGAGAGCTCGTGCTCTCGGCCTGGCCGTCCCCCAGAGTCGCATCGTGTGCCAGCCTCTCGCAAGCATGTTCTTCCAACATCTTGAGCACCACTCCCGGCGACTTCAGCGACTTCCGCTTGAGCGGAGGAAGAAGGCTGTCGTCGCTCGAGCTGTTGCTCCCACTGGACTGGCTCCTCGAATCCTCGCTGGAGCTGCGCCTTTTCTTTCTCCTTCTCCTCCGACTCCTTGAGTGGCCCGACGACCTGCGTCACTTCTTCTTGTTCTCCTTCACAGCCCCGCTCTGTGAAGTTGCAGCGGCTGCTAAAGCCTCCCCCGCTGATTTGTCGTGTTGCTCCTTCTTTTTCTTCGATTCCTCCTCCACATCGATGACTTCCAGCTTCACCTTCATCAGAGGGTTGACCACCGGAACCAGTGAGGATGAGCTTGCTCGCCGGCCATGCGTTCCAACCCCAGCAGCATCCCTCCGGGTATCGGCAGCCCCACCTGTATTGGGTGGCGCCGTTCCTGGCGCAAATGACACCCTTCAGGTCACTCCACACCTTTTGAAGGCGCTCAGACGCCCTTCCGCCACGATGGACCCCTTCGGCCCGACCAGCCTCCTCGGGAGGATCGTGTGCGCCCCGACCTTTGCCAGGATGCGCTCCTTCTTCTTCTTGGAGGCACATCTCCTCGCCAGCTTCGACGGCTTTCACCGCATGTCGGCTCAGCCAAGCGGCCTGGAAATAGCCTGGGGGGAACCATGAAAAGATCCCAGGTGAAGGGCCGCCTGATGCTCCTCTTTGCATACCCCTCCAGAGTCCAACTGACAGATATGTATGTAGGCCTTCTTGGACTTGAAAAACTTCTGAGCGGCCTTCTTTGCTTCTTCGTTTTTGGACCCCAGCACCTGTGCTCGAACCCACACCCCGGCACGGTATCTTTTACCAGCACGGCCACCTGAGGTTGAGGATCGGCTGCCGCGTCCGGGTCCTTGTAGACAATGGCGGACCCAGAGGGCAAGTACCGGGTCCTCCAAAATTCGCTTTCCTTCACATCGTAATCCATAGGTTTGCTTGGGTTTGGGGCGCTCCTCAAACTAAGGGAAAGCCCCTTCTCCTCTCTCCTCTTCCGACCATCCTGGCAGTGGAAAGCCTTCCTCTCCCATTTTTTTCCTCTCACGGCAAAGGGGATATAAGTGGTATAAGTCTTCAGACCCTGCATGAGATCCCTTCAGTGAAGGATCCCGCATGTCGAAGATATTCTTGAGGAAATCGTCTGTGGCTTTTTCGGACAGGATGCGTGTTCTCACGGTAGTGCCTCTGGTGTTTGCCTCCACCTCTCTTTTTGCCTGACTTCTTCTTTTTCTTCTTTTTGTCCTGATGGTCTCTATGGTTTCGGGGCGGCTCCAAGGGCTCAGGTGGCCTCTCGTGGCCTCTCTCCTCCTGTTTCACTTCCCGCTTAGGGGGCTCCTCCGGCTCGATGTGGCGCTCCTCCAAGGGCGCCTCTTCCTCACTCTCCTCCGCGTAAGTGTATTCATCCTCTCCTCGTGAGGGGCGCCTGTGGTCGCTAGACCTAGCCCGACTTCGAAATGTGCTTCGCGCCACAATGCCGTGCACTTTTTCGACATCTCAACTTCCAAAAGTGCTCCGAGACCCTCAGTTTTTAACACTTTTGACTTCCAAATGTGCTTCGCGCCACAACGCCGTGCACTTTTTCAACATCTCAACTTCCAAAAGTGCTCCGAACCCCTCAGTTTTTAACACTTTTTACTTCCAAATGTGCTTCGCGCCACAACGCCGTGCACTTTTTCGACATCTCAACTTCCAAAACTGCTCCGAACCCCTCAGTTTTTAACACATTTTACTTCCAAATGTGCTTCGCGCCACAACGCCGTGCACTTTTTCAACATCTCAACTTCCAAAAGCGGTCCGACAATGGTGTGTTTTGTACCTTTTCACTTCGAAATCGGCTTCGCGCCACAACGGCGTGCAACTTTTCATCTCTCATCTCCCCAGATGTCTCCGCACCCGCCGCTTTAGCAAGCCTACTTTTCAACCCTCCGGAGCCACAAAACCACGAAAAAACACAGTGTTTCGCGACTTTTGTACCTTTTCGCGCACCTGCATCTTCTTTCTTCTGATCTTTTCTCTTCTGACTCTTCTCCCTGCTGACTGCTTTTTCATCTCTCCATATTGTCGGAAGTTTGACTTCTGAACTTCCTTCGATTATGCTTGCACACCCGTGAAAGCCAAGATTTTCAATTTTATGTGCAAAACTCGGTGTTTTCAGGCATTCCCAATAGATCCCAAAAGCATTTCAAATAGAAGATATTCAAATATAGTATTCCTGCCCACCCCTGAAAACCCAGATTCTCCGATTTTCCCCTCTTTGCCCCTGTCATGGAGCTGAAAAGTCGGACCGCTGTTGAAGGGCTCGGTGCTGAAGTTCTTTCTTGGAAATGGGGAAAAATGCACCCAAGAGCCACAAGGGGAATTCTCAAAAATACGGATGACTACTTCACTGTGAGCACGGGCAATTTCCCAGACTGCCGACGTTTATGGCTACGGAAAAAGCTGTGCGTGGTTAGGGCGGCTCTCGAAGGCACGCCCCCTAGACGAAAATAGCATGATGCAACACACCGTAACATAACCGTATATTGTATTGAATGATCAATGAGACATTTGGATACATTAGGAGAAATTGCTGGAGATTGCTTGTATGATCTTGTGAATCATGTGTGTATGGGTCGTTTCAGTTTGCAACCTGCACAAAGCTGCCACGCCTCATCCCGAAGGCAATGGAATAATGGCTCGACCTTCAAAAAGTGTCGGTGGGTTCATCATGTGCACATTGCAAAGTCGAGCGCCCTAGAGCTGCAAAATGCCAAACTGCATTAAGCACATTAAACTTTAAACTAAACTGTTTAACAGACGCTCCAAGGCTTGCTTTAACATGATTGCAATAGAGATGAAAGGAAAGTTGTAGGCACCTGATATCAGCTGGCTCTGTATGACACTGTTGTTCTGAACTGGATCCATAAATCAAGGCTAGGGATTTTCAATGATTTTCGGCCGCGAATTGCCCCATTACCAAGCCATTCGTCAAAAATGGTTAGCGGTGCTTCGGCAGCTGGCAGCCCCGACCGTCATCATAGCAATCATGTTGAGCATCAGTGCAAAGCTGAAGAGCTCTGGCCCACGCATCAAATACCGCGGAACGTTCAGGCTGAAAACCTTCTCCAGGTCCTATTGGGATGCACTGCAAATGCACATGCTGAAGTCATCTTAAGTCAACTTCGCAAAGGCAATCAAAGAATCAAAGGTCCATTTTCCAACATAAGGCAAATTTCAAATAGTTTCAAACTACTGGCCGTGAGAAATTCCTGCGTCTTTTGGCTTTGTAAAAAAGAGGCTGAAATCAACTGCTTACCGCTGCTTACCTTCCATCATCTTCCATCTGCTCTCAGGCTTCCACTTCACTTCCCTTCAGGGCTTTTTGATATATTTTTATCATTTGTTTAATTATCTACGTTATCGTCGTTTTAAAGTACCTGTTTCGATTCCTTCGCTCCTTTCCACAGTCGACATGTTTGAGGCCCGCTCCTTGTGGCGGTAGGACCTGAAAAACTCGCTTGTGTGCCAGTAGAGCAGCCGGACGAAGCCCAACGAGTAGACCAAGATGCGGGCGACAGCGAGACATGTCTCGGCCCTCAGGCTCGAACAATTTTTTCCGGATTTGAAGATGCATCTGGCCACTTGGGAAAATTGAATAGCAATGAAGTCGCAGAAGACTTTTAAAAGGCGAATGACTCAGAAGCTGCGACAAGTTGTAATTATCTAGATGGAGTGTGGTGTGCTGCAAATCACCTCTGTTGGCCATCAGGTGGCAATTTCCATCATCAGAACACCCCCCCCAAAAAAAAGAACGGCCCCTCATGGGGGAGTGATGTTTGCTCAAAAAATGGTAAACATACTGGTATTTACAGTGTTTTGTGACCAAAGTGGGCTTAAAACCGTTATTTTAGAGCAAAAAATAGAGTTCACCTCCAAAGGCTCTCATATGCTGTCATAAATCACTGGCATTTACAGACTCTTGTGGCGGGATTCAATTTTTCCTGTGAGGCTTGCAAAGAACTACAAACAATCAGCACATAACAGAAAACATCCGCTGCACAACATGCCATAAGAATGGGTAGCTGCACATCTTGGAACAGAATATACAGTAGCAATAGGTGACTAGTGTGATGGAGGTGATGGAGAAATTCTATTGCTAAAAGCAATTGATATGATATAGGTGTTTCTTCATGAACTTGTTAGATTGATATCATCTTAACATTTATTGTACATAGAAGCATTTGCGCTACATAAGAAGTATGGTGGGAAGGGCATACATTATATAGGTGGATATAACACAAGCACATCTAACACTCTGGATAAGAAGGATGGTGGGAATGTTGCAACTCAAGAAGTAGGTACATATCTCGTTTATCATTGTTATCTTGCAGAGTCTTGTCAGCGGTCTCATTTCAATAGTTAGAGAGAGAGAGAGAAAGCCTAAGAGACAAAGACGTGTGTCAAGCTGTTGAATATTAAGGTCAGGCAACCTGTGTGGTGGCATAGCTATTCAAAGATAACGGTATGTTTGCTTCTTTGAAACATAAGTTTAAAATATGGCCAAGATCCAAACATACACAATCTAGAATCACCAAAGCCGGCACAGGCATCAAAAAAAACAAACAAACCAATAGATGCACCAAACCTGCACAAGCACCAAAAAAACAAAAAAAAACAAACCACTAGATGCACCAAACCTGCAAAGGCACCAAAAAAAATAAAAAAAACTAAAATTTCCAGGAACTATGGGTCCACTTCTGAGTAGTTGCTGGAATTTTTGTTTTTTTTTGTTTTTTTGGTGCCTGTCGATGTTTGGTGCATCTAGTGGTTTGTTTTTTTTTTGGTGCCTGTCAATGTTTTGTGAAGTCAGAGTCACCAAACCTGCACAGGCAGCAAAAAAAAACCAAAAAAAACAAACCACTAGATGCACCAAACCTGCACAGGCACCAAAAAAACCAAAAAAAATTAAAATTTCCGGGAACTATGGGTCCACTTCTGAGTAGTTGCTGGAATTTTTGTTTTTTTTTGGTGCCTGTCGATGACTGTTTGGTGCATCTAGTGGTTTGTTTTTTTTTGTTTTTTTTTTGGTGCCTGTCAATGTTTTGTGAAGTCAGAGTCACCAAACCTGCACAGGCACCAAAAAAAACAAAAAAACTAAACTTTCCAGGAACTATGGGTCCACTTCTGAGTAGTTGCTGGAATTTTTGTTTTTGTTTTTTAATGTTTTTTTTGGTGCCTGTCGATGTTTGGTGCATCTAGTGGTTTGTTTTTTTTTTTTGGCGCCTGTCAATGTTTTTGTATATCTCATGTCAAGATCATGATGAAAAAAGTGTGTTTTACTAGGGTTTTAGACCCTCCAAATGCATAAAACATCGGTATTTACAGTGTTTTATCATCATATTTAATGAAAATTCACTCCCCCACGGGGTGCCGCCCTCAAAAAAAAACTTGACTGTTCCAAACCAAAAATTGTTGAGTGGTTTTTGCTGGGGAATCCTTTTGAAAGGCCAAACGTGAGTACATAAGCAAATGAATAAATGCGTCCGTATAGAGTATAGAGTATGTATAATATCAAATACGATAAATATGCTTAGTTCATTTGGGAACTCGTCGGGGTTGTGGACCCCGAATCGGGTGGCTTCATCATGACAAAGTGGCCTCTCTCCACGCCTCACCCCAGCCACGTCCAGCCACGTCACGTTGGGTTCCCAATCATGTGAGGCTGGTTTAGGAAGCCTTACAGTAGGATGGACAAGGTCTCAAATAACTTCTGAAATACTGTCTTGGAGAAGGGACACGAATTGCAATGGTATAATGTGGCATATTCAAATTCACTTTCTCCTTTCACCTTTTGTCGCTTTCTCGGATCTTCTTCCTTTGCTTTGATGGATCGATTCTCATTCCGCGTGCCTCCCACTTTCCAGCTTGCTGGAGTCAAGCAACAGGTGGCCAAGAGAAAGACAACAAAGCTGATCATTGTCAAAACACGGTCCAGGAAGAAGGATCGCTTGGCCTTGTGTCAAAGCAATGTCAAAACGAGTCAAGTCAAGAGATGTCAAGAGCACGGTGCTACCGGTACTGCAGCGGCATGGTGCCGTGGTCTCTATTTTCTAAGCTCATCATCATTCATCATCCAACAGTGCCCTAAGATCCCTAAGGCAAGTGGGGAATTTGCGTGTCAGCCTCGTGCCAAGGAGCCAGGTGAGTCCACAATACCTCCAACACAAAGACCAGAATGGGATGCATAATCGTCTTTGGATTGTTGTACTTCACGAAGCTGATCAAGGCCCTGGAGAATGTCTTCGTCTCATCCGTATCTCTCACCAAATGCTCCAAGTAGTATATTACTGGGCGCAGCCCGTCCTGAAGACAAAGCATCAGGAGACAGAAGAACAGAACTGACGTGAATGTGGCATGAGCCAAAATCCCAAAAGCCCCCATGCTGCGGAATGAACCAATGAGACCGCATGCAACCCGATCCAATCCGATCCAACGACACTTACGACACCGTGATACCTTGGTCTTGTGAGATCGCCAAATAAGCCCATCCAAAAGCACCACTGCCAGCAGCGGTGCTTCAAGCAGAATGTCTTCGACAACATCAGGTTGGAGCCTCCCAGGGTCTCTCGATCTTCACTGGTCACCAATCTTCTACGTCATATCATGTGATCTCTCTTGATGTTCAACTTGCTGCATTAATGCATTTTATGCACGTGCTTGTTTACAGCCTGAAAATGTCGTCAACACCGTAGTAGTACCGGTCTCTGTCCTAAGTAGGCAAGGTTCTGCGCACAAAGCACATGGGTCCAGAACCAGATGATGGTCAATGGTCTCTCGCTGCTGAGCTTTTCTACTTAGCATTGCTGCTTTGCTTCTGCCCGGATAGTAAGCATATCCTGAAGCATCGTCTTTGCCGCAGTGTGGGCGCCGCTCCTGGCGGCAATCCATTCCTCTGAAAGGAGAAAGAACAAACATGAGCAAGTGTATCACCAATATCAAACTTTCCTTCGATTCTTTAATTCTCAAATTACTTGGGATATCTTGGGGTTGGGCCATTGGGATCCTGATTCTGACAGTCCTGAGAGCCCAATACAAAGGTGAAATGCATTGGCTGCCAACACGGACTCTCAACAGCAGGTTGCTGCGCTCAGCCTAGGATTGGCACCCAGCAAAGCAAAGAACTAAAGTTCAAGTCTGTTCCCCTTCCCACATGTATGTTTGGGCTATTCCGGCTATTTCTCACAAAGGCTTGAAGTGGAGATGTGGCCTGATGCGGCCATGATTATCATTGATCTTCGTTATCTTGCATTCAAGTGTTTCAGTCTCTCTCTCTCTCTCTAACCAAACTTGCCGGAAAAAACACGCAATTGCTTGAAAAATAAAAGAACAAACGAAATACACACACACACATTGCAAATACTTGCACATCCATCATGGCCTCCTTCCCTACTGGCGGCCTCCACACCTAAGTTATGTACTGTCATTATGTCAACTTTCCATACTTGTAGATCCCATGCCCCTTGCCAAGAGGCAAGGCATGCTATTTTCACACCCCGCTTGGAAATCAGTGTCTCAACTGGACCCCTGGACTCTTTTGAAAGATGCCTTCGCTGTACAAGGAAACCTCTAAAGAATCATGGGACGCCTTGGCAGGTATATGGAAACCCTCGAAACTGCATCCTTGAAACCAACCGCTACATACCCCTACATGCCCAAAGAATGGGAAATATAGGGCCCTACAAGCACCGTACTTAAGTCACATCAGGCGGGAAAAGTCACATCACCCCCATGGCACGGCGGCGATACGGAGAAGTCACATCAGGTAGTGGAAAGTCACATCAGGGAAGAAGAATCACCATGGCACAGCCTGTTTCATCTATCATGATGCATATGCCTAAAAGTGGCCGAAGCATTGCGCACAACAAGGAAAATGGCAGATACTTTGTTGAAAAGGTTCATATTTATAAAGAATCCTATTGGAATAGTTGGAAACCAGCTGATACCCATATCATCTTCTCAGATTGAAATCCTATTGGTACAGCGACCATGTGGCATATAAAATTATATAATCTTTGAAGGAAAACACCATGGCACAGCATGCTTACATATGCACGTTATATAAACCACAAAGTAGCCCAAGTATCGCGCACAGCGGAAGAAACAAGAGTGCATGTCGCCAAAAGTATCAGGCTTTCAGAAACATTGCATTGAAAAACAAAATTTTCTTTTGTTCCAAAGATATCGGTGGCACAAGCCGAGTAGCGGTGGATACCCAAGCATTTCCTAGCCTTTCCAGCTCTGAAAATCTAGTGCACATTCCCTTAACAATAGACATGGCCAAGCCTAGAGAATGTGGAATCCAATTCCCCAGAACAAACCTATCAACAATATCTTTGCAGCATATGCCCCATTGAAAGTATGATCAAATACAAGTTCCGAAAGCTGTTGCGTACAAAAATTGAACTTTTTCCAGGCGCACGGCCCCAAAACGAAGAAATCGTTCAATTACTAAAAGTTGTGGTGATGCCAAAATTGAACTTTTTCCACGCGCACGGCCTCCCGATACGACTTTTACGAGCTGATACGACTTAACGCTAGCGCTAGTGTCTAAAAGAGCAGCGAGTCCAGTGAGTCCGGGTTGCATTTTCAGCACATCACCCCCGACAACCCTCTGAATATCTTTGGGGTTCTATTCTTGTCAAATATGAACTGATACAGTATGTGCCATTTGCTGCTCTTATGATCTCTAGCAACTTGTTTTGGCAAGAGCTGGGGCAATCGACATGGTTGGTTAAGGGATGATAAGGAATGTCACGACCGCAATAATAAGAACCCAAAAAAATCAGAAACCTGAAAAGGTTACGCGAAACAGGAATCCATGCAAAGTGGAGGCAACAATTCTCCAAAGAACGGCGTTGCTTTTGACAACCAAGCCAAACTCAAAAGATCAAACAGGGAAACATCCAACTCAAATGGTTCGGTGGATTTTTGTGATATGTGCTGGACAGCAATCTGCCCGGCACCCCGTTTCGCACGACGTGGCACTCTCGGAGCTTCCTTCAGCGATTTGGTGAGCAGTTTCGCATCATCGGCATTGATGGACTGC